TTCCAAACTTGTTGACAACTTGGGATAAGCAGTGCGAACACAACTTGTAGACGGCTTGTTGGCAGACTTGTCACAAGATGTGAGATTTTGCGTGTGTAGTCTATGCTTCTGTATACTAGAACAATGATAATTAGGCATGTGAGTAATATGTAAAGTTGTGAATTGTGATCCTTAGTGTATGTTCCTCATAGCAATCACCCATGCCGTATGGTATAAACGACATGTTGTAAAGCCGGGAGGGCAAGAGCTACTTGATAACTTGAAAATAAGCTATTGATGGCATAGTGGTAAATAATGGATAACAGTTTTAAATGCATAACCAAATATAACTTAGTGTATGTTTCCTCCTCTGTTAACACTGGATCAATAAGAGACGATCCTTACTGGACCTCTAGGAAGAACAGTTTAGAACTGATAGAGCTATCCAGTATAAATAAAGTTAGTTTAGTTTAGATTTCCTTCTGTAGTAACACTGGATCAATAAGAGATGACCTTACTAGATCTCTCGAGAGAACAGTTTAGAACTGATAGAGCTATCCAGTATAAACAAAGTTAGTTTAGTTTAGGTTTCCTCCTGTAGAGAGATGATCCTTACTGGACCTCTACCAATGTTTCCAGATTTTTGTCAAATAACCCAACACGTACAGCTGCAGCGATTATGCATAGTTGTAACAAACTTGCAGCAGACTTGTAGGAATGCTGTTCCAACAACTTGTCAACAGGATGTTTTCGCACTGCTTGTTCCCAGATTGTTGACAAGTTGTTAACGGATTGTGAACAACTTGTTACAAGGTTGTTGAGTTCAACAGACTTGTTACCAGTTGTTCTAACAACTTGTTATCGTCGTGCAATTCAACAATTCGTCAACAAGTCCGTGAGTGACAACCTTGTAGCAACTTGATAAAATAACAACATTGTTACAACTTGTTGACAACAAGCTTGTTGCGAACACATCTTGTTGATAAATCTTATACATATTTTGCTTTCTGTCCGCAGATGCAAAAAGAGAAAAACTTCATGACAAAATGATCGAGAATGTTGCTGATCGCCATCTGTATGCAACAAGTCTTTGTACTCTCCAAGTCGGCTATATCAAGAACCTACAGAATGCGCGCGTCCGAAATCTCATTCGTTTGGTAAAATTCTGGCTGCAACGCGCATTTTCTACCGACGATGAGAAGTCTAACTTGCCCAGTGCGTATTCGCTTCAATTCTTGGTAATCTCGTTATGGGAAAGCGCTGGAAGACCCGAAACCTTCAAGCCTTCGGTTGGATTCCGTGCGATTATGGAAACGCTACAGAATTACAGCGATATGTATGTCACGTGGAGCGTGTACTACTCCAAGGACAAGATACAGCGAGCCCTTGTTAACCAGAGGTGAGGTTTTGACAAAACAGGCCGCACTATCAAAGTCTCTGTGATCACAAGATGAATTTAGCATAGGTAAATTCAGTTGTTGTAACAAGTTTAGAACAAGCTGTTAACAACTTGTAACAAGCTTGATGGTATTATCAGACTTGTCACGCGTGCGTGTGAAAATCTCACATCTTGTAGCAAGTCTGCCAACAAGCTGCCAACAACTTGTGTTCGCACTGCTTGTCCCAAGTTGTCAACAAGTTTGGAACAAGCTGTTAACAATTTGTAACAACCTTGTTGATATTATCAGGCTTGTTACAAGGTTGTTCCAACAAGTCCGCTACAGTCATGATATAGCAGTATTGTTACAACCTTGTGTCGTCAACCTTATAACATTCTTGTTTATCATGACTGTATCAGACTTGTTAGAACAACCTTGTAACAAATCTGATGCCATCAAGCACAAGTTGTTAACAGCTTGTTCCAAACTTGTTATACAACAACTGGGAACAAGCAGTGCGAACACAGCTTGTTGACAGCTTGTGAACAGATTTGTAACAACTTGTCTGCAGACTTGTAACAACTTGTGCGTTTTTACGTGTGTACAAGTCTGATACAGTCATGATATAACAAGAATGTTACAAGGTTGACGACACAAGGTTGTGACAATATTGTTATATCATGACTGTATCAGACTTGTTGGAACAACGTTGCAACAATCAACAAGTTTGTTACAAATTGTTAACAGCTTGTTCCGAACTTGTTGTCAACTTGGGACAAGCAGTGCGAACACAACTTGTTGACAGCTTATTAGCCAAACTTGCTACAAGATGCGAGATTTTTGCGTGTGTACACTGGAATCCCACATTTGTAAAATATTTAATTGTTCGCTATAGTTAAACATTTTATCACCGTTTTTCTAGACGACCAATTTTAATGGATCCTTGCGACCCGACTAAAAATTACGCCGCCGAATGCAACTGCTGGAATGACGTCGCCACCGTTGCCATAGCAACGCTGGGTAAGCCAATGATACAAGACGTCACACCCAATCCAAGATGGCAATGAACAATAATGGAACACAAAACTGATGAGGCAACACAGCATGATAAACGCACATAGACACATTGTGAAAGACAAGTTAATGTTTTGCAAACACAATTTCTCGCGAAGAATTTAAAGGTCCATTTCAACTCAAGAAAAATTTTCACGGACAGAAAAATGTTCCGAAAATATCATTGTTAAAAGTTGAAAATTTTCAACTTCAAAATTTTTTTCCGACGGAAAATTTTCTTTTTGCGGAAAATTTTCCTGAGTGAAATGCCAGGACCTTTAGACGTCAAACTTTGAAAAAAAATAATTGCAAGACATTAAACTGAAATAATAAAAAGAATTTTTTAATTCAAATTATCAAATAACACCATATTTCATCGGTCCCATCAATTACTATCAAGAATAAAGCCAGATTTCCACTTGTGAGAAAAAGTTCGCTGCCGAAAGTTTTTCGCCAATTTCTTTTGAATTGTGAGCGGTCAAAGTTACAACGAATTTATTCGGATGATCACAATTCAAAAATATTTCGACGACGAAATATTTCTCTGCGAGTGGAAATCCACACTAAGAACTATAATAAATAAACTTTTTAGGGGATAAAGTTAAATTAGAAAAAAACCCAGGACATTTTCTGTCGTCTTTGTGAGCTTGCTTTATATGCTGCAGTGAGCCAGGTAGCTTTTGTATGTATCTGAACTAAGAAAAGATTAACAAGCGTTCGTTTATAGCCAATGGAACCATTCTCTAATGAATAAAATTTTGATCTAGACAAGTCTAGACAAAAAATTCATCACAGCTTGAAAGAGCATCACAGAATTAGTAATATTCCGAAGTTTCGTTGCGAAATGTTGTAAAATGCGGATAGTATGGCCCTGCGAAATTTGCCGTTTTTCAGTCATTTTGTATTACGCGCGGGAAATTGATACCTTTTTTCAGAAAGCGGTATCAATTTCCCGTGCGTAATAGAAAATGACTAAAAAACGGCATAAAGATTATGTTGTCATCTTCGTGTGTACGTACGTATGTGTGTGTGTTAGCAGGATGTGAAATTAGCAAAAGTCTGTCTTGCTTTGCCGGGCACATTACATTGTATAATTTCAATCCTTAGATAGATGACTTGCCCAATATATTTTGTTGAGCACACAAAAAAGGCTTCCGAAATCGCTACATCGAATTGCTTAAGCCACACGCACGACAAAAAAAGCCAAAAATGATTATTCCCCCTTATAAACTCTGTAAATATTTTATGTTCGTATTAGTCCATTTAATACTGAAAGAGTTATAGTATACCTACAATATGGAATTTCTATCTGAAAGGGTTAAACTCCAAGTCGTTTTCCAAGAACACGGAGTTTTTAAAAGAGAAAAATAGAACTAAATGTATACTTGTTCAACTGCCACATCTACGTGTATGCAACGTGGCCAGCGGTTCCATAATCACTACCATTAACAGAACCGGACTTCTCTCGTATCAACGGGTCGTGTTCAGTCTCAAAGGAATCTTGGATGTCGATGGGAGAGACGCTTTCACGACGGCAATCTGGGCCAATGTAGCTTAGCAAGACCGGAAGAAATAGAAGGCCGTGACTTGCTCCGAATAACACTATACCCAAGTACATACGGAAATAGAATACCTGTAGAAGAGAAATTGGCAATGAAATTAAAATTTGGGAATAAAATGTTGTTAGGCCAAAAAAAAATGTGGGTTTCCGGTTTCTTCTTATAAAAACTTAGGTAGGGTAGGTCGGTTTTAACTTTTTTTTTTAACTTTTTTTTTTAATTTTCCGAACAAGCGGACGCCATTTTGTTTAGTCAGTGCTTCCACATCCAAAGATAAATTTCCCTAATATTGCCTCAAATTTCAATTTTCTACAAACTTTTTCCTCTAAGTGGAAACACTTACAAGCATGATCCAATAAAAAAGTTTAGGGTCGGGGTTTCGACGTCCAAAAGCTAGGTAGGGTCGGGAAACTGGAAACCCACATATTTTTTTGCCCTACTAAACAGTAAATTATATTACGCGATGCTGTAAATAGGAGCATGCGGTAAGCCGTTTGCATTTTTTCTCAGTTGCTGCTTGTATGATTCAACAGAGACGTTACGATTTAGAACGGCAACGCGACGGCAACGGTTACCAATACAATAAATCATTGAAAAGAATTGAATAATTACAATATATGAATAATTTAGACGTTGTCCTCGCTCTGTTTACAACGCCAAATCACAGATTTTCACGTCTTGATACAACGGCTGCATTCCAAGCCGCAACAAGTGCAACTTCAGTCTTCAAACTGGGTTCAGCACAACTCTTCCCAACCATAAAACCCATGTCTTCAACTTCTAAGACTGTATTAAATTCACACGATTGATAATATACGACAAACTATCTTTACTACCATTTATTTGAAGTAGTCTGTTTTGACCGTCGTCGTCGCGTTGCCGTCCTAAATCGTAAGGTCCCTAACCTTAAGATTTGGAGACGGTTAATTAATGGGGGAAATAGTTTCCGGGCTTGTAATTTT